TATACTGAGAGGTGCCCAATCCACACCCTCTCATTGAGGGATCGGTGCTCGCACCGAGGCCCTTGCCCGGGTGTACGCGCTCGGGCTCCCCACATTAAACCGACCTTGTGTCACAATCTGATCTCTTGGCGGTTGAATAAATATTTTGGGCATGTTGTACTAATTTGCAAGCAAATACTTCAGGAAAAAGACGAAACTGCATGGATCCTGGAATTGCCAGCTAATCATTTAGACACGAATCGTCAATAAATGATGCTTTAAAAGTTAGTTTACGGTGGGAGTAATGGATAGTGGCTCGCATTGAAGAATCGGAGAGCCGAGTTCGAATTCCAGTCGAATCCATTACATTCACTTACGTGCTAATACTCTTGTAAAAGGTATAAATACTCTTCTTCTCCCCCCCCAGCTCTGGGTAAATAGCAAGACGGACCTTGGATGGCAACTAGTCTACCGCAAAAAGAAATGGCAACCTACTGCGGGAAAAAAATCTGCCTCGTCAGTTATGTATCGAAAGATAAATGATCGATTAAGCGTGTATCACGCATGGCACATAACTGACTGATTGACGTGCTAATACCCTTGGGAAAGGTATGAATCCTCTTCTTCTCCCCCCAGCTATAGGTGAATAGCAGGACAGACCAGATTTTATAGCCTTGGATGGCAAATGGTATACAGCAGAAAGAAATGGCAACCTACTGCGGGAAAAAATCTGCCTCGTTATTCATGTATCGAAAATGATCGCGTATGCATGTATCACGCATGGCATATAAATGACTGAAATGAAAATCTCCGCCAGGCCCGGGAAAAAAATAAACAATAAAGAAAAAATCCCAATTTAGAGGCATGTTCTTGAACCAGTGGGTACAATTGAATTCGTTTCCTACTTGAGTCCCTTGCCATCCCACTAGTAGAGCCAATGGCCGTAAAGGATTGTCATTGTCAATTTCAGCAATATTCACCAAAATGTCTGTTCTGTCAGGTGACCAGGTCCTGAAATCAGATGTTTAAATTCTAGTTATTTGTTCTTGATTCATTACCAATTAATTTGTTAAATCCTTTTCTCTTCTGCAGCTTTTCGTACCATAATAAGATTTATTTTTCTTAGTTTATGCGTACAGACACACGGACACACACACAGAACACACACACACACGTGCAAATACATACATACATATATATTTTATTCTTATACTTTATACGGAAACGTCATATATCCTAACGTTCTATACTAGTTTAGCTATGAAGGAAGCGACTGCTATAGCACGTCAGGCTATATGACGGTCCCGTGTAGATACAGGTTTGATTTCTGCCGGAGGACACATTTTCTATGAAATTTCTCGGACATTCAGGCTGGTAAAGGTTGTTAATACTGTTTATTACCAACAAAACATTTACCTAAATATTTGTCTATATAAATAACGTATAACAATAAAATATATTAAAATAATTGTCGGACTTAGTTCATTTCATTATATATATATATATATATATATATATATATATATATATATATATATATATAAGTGAACATAGAAGTCAACACTTAGAGCGACAGTCTGTTTCATGTTATATGCAATCGTCGTGGCCTGACGATTGCATCTAGCATGAAACAGACTGTCGCCTCTAAGTGTTGACTTTATGTTCATTTTTATATTTACACACGCTTTATCTCTGATATTGAGCACTTTATCCCATAAATATAGCACACCTTAAGACTATATTTCTTCATATATATATATATATATATATATATATATATATATATATATATATATATATATATATATGTTAAAGTAACGCGAATTAACAGCGTCTAAGAATTTGAATGAAACCTGTTGTGGAATGTAATTGATTGGGGTTGTTTTAGCTTCTTCCTTTAATGTCGGTCTTCTCCCTCACCCCTTATCCATCTATATCTAGAGACGAGACGCGTTAAATTTGAGCAACATCTAACCTGCACACTGGGGTTAAAAATAGGAAATTGAAATGATACATATGACACACTCATATCTTCTCTCCCACCTCCTCCTCACTTCGTTAATTTTACGTATACTTGATGAGGTCCGTAAAAAACGTGTGAATTTCTTTTCATTTTTCATTTCATCTTTTGGAAGTAAAGTCTGATGATCCAGAACCCTGTTAAAGGGGTTACGGTGAAATAGCTTATTACATGGAATCTTAACGTGGTCTGTCTTTTATTCAAACATATCTGCTCTGAATTTTACATTGAACTCTCTGGATATCATCCTCCCTCAGGTCTACCCATACGGATTACCTAAATTTGCTTAAACTATATATATATATATATATATATATATATATATATATATATATATATATATAATGAAATAAACACACCAGAAAATAACTAAACAAATATATTAACAGAAACAATAATACAAACATATACAAACGAGAGTGTTACAGCAAGAATGTTCGGCCTGACTATCAAAGCTGACTGCTGGAAACTTCCTCTCTAAAAGGCAGTACCTGCTCCTAT